GTCTCCATGGAGGGTAATCGGCTTGTTTAGTACAAGCAAGTGAGAGCAAGTGATTTAGAACAAAAAATTTGATCTCGAAAAAAGGTTGTTTTTGGGGGCGGTGAATCCGATTATATATAGTAGAACTATAATAAGTAGAGCCCTTAGTCTATAAAGATAACCGGATATTATATACTAAAATTAAGTAGCCCTAGCTCTTACTCTATTACCTTAATAAGGTAATTCGTATATAGCTAGTCTAGGTATATAGTAAAGTTAACCCTAAAATATAGGTCCCTTCTACTAAAATTTATACTAATAGAGCTAATTAAGTAGTCTTATTTAAAGTAATCTATTAAGCCTACTCACCCTCTTAAATTAGATATTAGACTTAGAATAAATAACTATTAATTATAGTACGTTCATTTCTTCTATTATATAAGTTATAGACTATTTACTTCTAGAGTATTATAAATATATCCTTTAGATTATAAAAAGTACTTTTAAAGTTACTAACCTCTACTTATTAGATTCTAGCGCTCCCTTATTCTAGGATAATAAAGGTAATATCTTATTTAATAGAGTGTGACGACACGTACGATGTGTTGCTCAAGGAGCGTTCAAGGTGTAGGTTATGGAATCGTAGAACTGTCTATTCGAAGATTCTAAGCTAAGGAGAGAAGAGAAGGAAGGACAGAAGCTCAAGAGCCAGAGGCTCTTAAATACAGGTGTGACGGTTCTAACCGCCACTACACCTCAGACCAGCCCCTGGCTGGAACCCAGCGGATACCGTGCTTCCTGAGCCCGGCTCAGTTAGCCATAGCTTGGCACGACCTCCTGTATATAAGAACCTCTGGCTCCCGAGCTCTGCTCTCTTCTCTTCTCTCCTTAGCTTAGAATCCTCGAATAGACAGTTCCACAGTGTCAATCTCACCACTCGTGATACCTGACGTAGTCGTGCTCTTGCGCGGTCCATCAGCTGTGCGTGTCGTCACAACAGGAGGTGGCGCCAAGGGCCATGCCTTAGCCGAGTCTCAGCCAGGGGCTCGTTTGACGCATGGTGGCCGCCGGGTTCCAGCCAGGGCTGGTCTGTAGCGTGGTGGCGGTGAGAACGTCACATAGAGAGTCTAAGACCTAGAAAACGAAAGAGAGAAAGCCTATTAAGCTATATAGTAATAATCCTTAAAAATAAGCCTATTATTTGAATACCTATATAGTATATATAATCTAGTTATTCTTACTCTTATTTCTATAAGCTAGCTTTCTACTATAATGAAGTAATTACTCTAATACTATCATATAATTAGTAGAGGTTTAGATTTAGATAGAGGTTATATACCTAGCTTTATTTTAGTATAAATAAGCTATTACCTATAAGTTAATAAATTATAAGATCTTATTTTATAAGAGATTCCTAAAATATAGATTAACTAGTACTACTATACTAAATATAACTCTAGTAGTAGTAAAGGTTCTAGTTGTAACGAATACTCAAACTGGCTAACTAAACTTGGCTGGGTGTTCGCTGGTTGGTATGCTATGATAAGAAGAAGACTATCGGGTTGTTCACTTGGAAGTGAACTCGTTACTTGTATCAAAGATGTCAAACTAATATGATAAGATTGATAACTAAGTTGAGCACGAAGCTCCTATCTAATGGCAGACGTGCCAGTCTTATATAGATCCTTCGTTCTCCTAAATCAGTGCCCGTCGCTCTGATCCTTTCTGATTCCTCAGAGGTCGTCAGGCCGACCACCTCTGATGCCAGTCGATCATGTGACAGTAACCAAAGGAAATCCTTGGATTGCTTAGCTAGCCTAAGCATCCCTATTCGCTATAAGAGTTCGTGATAATGCTTAACCTGTCAGGACGCCGCCTGGTCTTCACTCGTCACCTGCTAACACGTGATTCGTGACACTAAGCTTTATTAAGGGTAGTAAAGAGAGAATAAGGTCTTTTAATAACTAGAAGGTTATATATAAATTCGATTTAAGTAGGCCTTTCTATAATTCGCTTATACTGTATAGAAAATAAATATACGCTATAAATATTTGAAAACCTACTTTTATAATAAGTTTTATTAGGTATTCGAGTATTCTAAGGTCTATAATAAATATATAACGCTAAGCCCATTTCCTAGAATTAAATCTATTCTATTACTTCTACTCTAAAAAAGCCTTATTAAGGACTACTAAGATAGTATAATTATTTAAATTTTAAAGCAGCGTTAAAGCTTATATTTATAGCTTTCCTATATACTAGAGAGATTATATATTCTAAGTTAGAATAGTAAAACAAACTAGTATTTAAGAAGTCTAAGTTATAAAGATAAGATATAGTATTTAGTTCTTAGAATAAATATACTACTATTTTCTTATAAATAAGTAAAAGTAATATAAAGTACTCTAGTATTAAAATAGTAGTAGAATAAACCCCAAATAATATACACCCTATTATAGTACTTTTATAACTTTTTAACCTAGATCTTTAACTCTTATATTCTCTACTCTTTTATATAGAATAAGAACCTTTTATAAGAGACTTTTATATTAATATCTTATAAGAGCGCCTTTGCTAAATTAGTACGCTAAATTAGTACGCTAAATTATACAAGATATATAGGTTATAGCCCTTGCTAAGGTACTACTTAAAGAGCTTTAGATTTAGGTATTTTAGGCTCTAATATTTAACGTCTTAGTAGATAGTCCTCCGGAGCGTTTAAGGGTTATTTTACTCTTAGTTTATAAAATCGTTATTAATTAAGCTATTGTTTTTTATAGGGATTATAATTAGTTAATCTCCTTCTCCTAGCTTATTATTATTTTATCTTCTTTAGTAGCTAGTTCTTTTCGTCCCTTAAAGATAGCCTAGGATATTAATACTTCTTTTTACTATACTAAATAGAGCCTTCTAATTAGTCTATAATATATAAGAAGTCTAAGTATTTAAAGCTAGCTAGTAATATAAGAAATTAATAATAAGCCTCTTTTACAACGTGACAAATAGATAATAAATAGTAGTAGTTTATTATAAATAAGGGAGTACTTACTAAGTAACTTAGTAGGATAAATATCCTATATACGAGTATACTCCTCTATTAATAATACTATATTTATCGTTCTATATAGTACGATTATTAGCTCTTTTAACCCGCCTATATACTCCTCGAGCTAAGTCTCGCCTTTAGTTAGTTATACACCTTCATAAGTAGCGAGGCCTAGGATGTTAATACTTCTTTTTACTATACTAAATAGAGCCTTCTAATTAGTCTATAATGTGTGAGAAGTCTAAGCATTTAAAGCCAGCCAGCAGTATAAGAAATCAATAATAAGCCTCTTTTGTAACGTGACGAATGGACGATAAAACATTCATAAAACCCAGCTACATAACTCAATTGTGTGCAAACCCCCAACCAGGATCCCACCCACCATACCATCAACACAAACCCTACCACCAATAAAGCCCAACAAAGAACTCCCCCAGATTTTCCGAGAAACACTGACGTAGTATAAACAATCTCTCTCCTGCCACCATAAACGTTCAAAAGAAAGCCCCGGGTATAAACACCAACATCAAGAAGAAAAAAAACAATCTACCACCAATCCCCATGATCATACATAGCAGCAGCAACCTTCACGAACCCCGCAATATTACTTCCAGCAACCAAACTAGGATATTCATCCTCACCCCCTTTAACATATTTCTTGGCAGTCTCAAGGCCATTCTTGAAAGCAGCCTCCATAATGCCCTTGAGCTTCTCATCCACCTCTTCAGAAGTCCAGCTGAGACGTTGAGAGTTCTGCGCCATCTCGAGACCGGAGACGGCGACTCCTCCTGCGTTCGCAGCTTTACCTGGTGCGTACCAGATGGCTTCTTTTTTGTTGGATTTACGGTGGGCTTCGAAGACGTCGATGGCTGCTTGGGTGCATCCCATGTTGGAGCCTTCTGCAATGAAACGTGCTCCGGCGTTGACGAGGGCTTCGGCTTCCTCCTTTGAGACTTCGTTTTGGGTTGCACATGGGAGAGCGACGTCGACTTTGACGTGAGTCCATGGTCGGGCTCCATCGATGTATTTGTGTTTACCCTTGAACTCGGTGAGTGCTTGTCGCTTAACCTTCAGGGTGGCAATGGCGGAGATATCCTCTGGTGTGATTGGAGAATCAGCTGAAGCGATGAGAGCACCCTTTGAATCGGAGAGGGAGACGACAGTAGCGCCAAGTTCGATAGCCTTGAGAGCTGCGTACTGAGCGACGTTACCAGATCCGGAGATGGCGACAGTCTTTCCTTTGAAGGAGCCTTGGCCGGCGTATTCGATCATGTGGTTCACATACTGTGTTCTGTGTCAGTATATTTACGTTTTGTAATAGGGGAAGGAAGTCACGAACGTAAACAAGTCCGAAACCGGTAGCCTCAGGTCTGATTAGAGATCCTCCCCAGGCTCCTCCCTTTCCTGTAAGAACACCTTCCCATTTCTTCGTCTCGGCCTTGTAGGCCCCAAACAACCATCCAATTTCACGTCCTGATACACCGATATCTCCAGCTGGAACATCGGTATCGGCACCGATATGTTTGCTCAACTCGCACATGAATGCAACGCAGAATTTTCGAATCTCATTATCAGATTTGCCCTTTGGATCGAAATCTGCTCCTCCTTTACCACCACCAATGTTCACTACAACCTATCAGCTTTCATGGGTTTAAAAGTACTCTCACGTGAAAAACTCACATCCAGTAAGAGCATTCTTAAAGATCTGCTCAAATCCCAAGAACTTCAGAATAGATAGGTTGACGGTTGGGTGGAATCTGAGACCACCCTTGTATGGACCGAGAGCAGAGTTGAATTGAACTCGGTATCCGCGGTTGACTTGTGTTTGGAGTTTGTCGTCTTCCCAGACAACTCGGAATTGGATGACTCGCTCGGGAATGGAGACGACCTTGAGGGCGGTCTTGTATTCGGGCTTTTGTTCGAAGAGGGTGGAGTTTTCGAGGGTGGAAGCGAGCTCTGTTGGGAGTTTGTTAGTTGTGAACTTATGACCTTTAGAGAAGACAGCCGAAGAAAATAGAGCTAGCTGAGATGCAAAATTGCAGCCATAAGAAAATATTCTCTAGGTGATTTCAGACAATTGTTGTTCTATCCAGTATCGACTTTCTGCCATCGTGAAAACGTTGTGAATCTCGGGAAGACGCTCCTTCCTCGTTTATGAGAAAAGGCAGAAGAACAGGGAAGAGGAGGAAGAATCCAGCCTCTGATCCCCAAAAACAAATTCTCCCTTCCCAATCAATCACGCTACAATAATAAAATCAATCATACCAGTATAAGCCTGCTCAAACTCCGGCTCAGAAGGAAGGTTAGACATGATCGCGAAATCAAAGTATATCGTTGAATCTCTCGTCCGTATGAAATTTTCGTATCAAATCAAATGTCAAAGTATCAATATGGAAGAAGAAAGGCAGCAGGTTTGAGAAATCGAAGTCAGGGAAAGCACCACCTTATATGCGTACAAAAAATGGTGGGGGGGGAGGGGGAGCTGGAGCTCTCAAGCTATCAACCTAGCTTAACATCATAATCCAACCAGTAACCATCCACCCGGCAATAGAGAAAAAGGAAAGCGTGGTGGCTGCAGCCCTGAAAAGGTTTCCAATCGTATCAACAAATTGAATTCACCATGCAAAGAAAAAAATCATCTCATCCCATCCCATCCCATCCCATCCGTTATAGGACGTGGGTGGATTGAAATGGTGGAATGACGTGCCATCTTTTCACATCGCCGTAATCGGAAATCCATGGTTTCCTTTCGTAGGTCTAGCACTATTCAGGCTCTCTCTTCTCTACTACTCCACACTCGAGTACAGGACGACCTTGACTCCAGTAGCGTGCTCATACTTCGTCGCTAGGAAAGGCTGAGAGGAGGACCTTGGAGCTGGAAATGGTGCAATAAGCTGCTCTGCATCAGTCGTTGATAAAACACCACTGTCAACCCTCTTATCGCATCCCGCTCATTCGTCAATGGAAACCGCCTGGCCTGGAAGTGGCGTAGCAAGCGTATTGGAAGAAACGGGGACACCGCATCCAGCAATCGCTGCACATCACATCAGGGGAGGCGAGGAAAATACCCCCCTTCTCTCCACCACTGCAATTATCGACGAGTCTGTCGATGTAATTCCAGACCCGAGAAATCCCAACATGCAATTCTCACAAACCTAAAATTCCATTTCAACCCCGGGTTACCAGTAGACCAAGAAAGTCCATCTTCTAGGTGCATATAAAACAAAGTCTAATCTATCCATGGTTTACCTACTGAATCTAAAGTCACGTGCAACATCCACCCCGCGGAAGCCCCTCCATCACCACTACAGGGGCCTACGCAGCGAAGCGACCGCCAAAAACCTGGTGTATCAATCCGTCCTGCCCCTCCAAAACGCGACACCCGCAACTCCCCCATAAAAATCCCATTCCCATTGAAAATATTTTCATGGGACAGGACCAGGAAAATCGCTCATGCTCATGCCCTTCTCATGCGGGCACGTACGTACGAGTATTTTTCACTCCACCTCCCGTCGTCCCGTACAGTATGGCATGCATGTCCCAAGCGGATGTGTCCGGTTCAGGAGCACCGGTGTCGGACCTGATCCCATGGACGAGGCCAGCCTTTCATTGAAAGGTTTTTTCTCTCTCTTTTTGATAGAACAGCCTTGTCTGGATTTGGAAGTCCTAGATCGCTGGATGTCACATTTCCGATTCTCCGGTTTCGTTGTATGGAGAGGAAGAGGTGCAGATGATGTGAAGAGTTTTTTGCGTTGGTGATGTTGAGGGTTGGAGAGAGGTGGTGTGGGGGTTTTGCTTTTGGTTACAATGTATTCAGTGCTTGGACTTTGGAATGATACCATTCCATCTGCAAGAGGAAAAGTTTGAGGGTGAGGGTTTTATATAATCGATGAACTTCCCACGGCCTAGTGTGTTTCTCTTCTTCTCCTCTAAACAAACTACCTTTGAAAAGTGAAAGGTTCGAGCAACCCTTTGGAATCTGCAACATACATCATCATTTCTACAGTCTCATTTCTACAAGTATTTACATACACTATTTCATCCTCTTATACAGCCATACATCTCTCTATTACCTCTACCATTCCCGGGCAATAGAAGAAAACTTCAGTGTACGTGAACTCGCTCACGAACAAGTAAACCCCCTTTTCACTATATAGATCAGCCTTCTTTAACATCTTTGAATAGCTCGGCCGCTCCAGACCTGTTTAATCAAGCGAGTCACTTCTCATCATCATGTAAGAAAACATCTCCAGAACCAAACCAAGCCCAAAGTACCCAGCTTTCGGCAACTGAGTCTCATTCCATTCCATTCTATCCAAGGTCTAGAATACTCTAATCCAAGACCATGGAACTCCAATCTGAAATTTGTTGACCTACCTGCAGATAGTTACTCTAGTCTACTTGATTATAACAGAAGGATTAGCAGTATATAATTTGCAATCCTAGGTATCAAACTCCCTTTTACTACTGATCATAGTAGTAGTCTATATTTGTACGTATATACGCATGTTGCACTAGCGAATAGTCTATAACTAAGCGATTTAGTGATTACTTGATTAGTAATCACACTTTTCTTCGATGCTAATTTACGCTCTCATATAGGTTAAAAGCGTTTTCTATACACGCTCCAAAATTCGAATTCCAGAGCCTTTCCCTTTGGAAGTTTGGAGTATTCCATTCCATTCTGGGGGACCTCTGGAATCCCAGAACATCACTTTCCTGATGCGAAACGCTGAAAGTACCGTACCCGATCATGTCATAGCATTCAAATCCTGGGGTAGTGTCTCCTTCTATAAATGTTTCAATCCTCTCATTTCACATCCCACCTCTCGAAACGTGAGTCCCTCTCCTTCTCCAGACCTACAGTAAACAAAATACTAACACAATAACACTCCCTAGCTCCCAGTCCCTTAATCCAATCGTAATCTACAATCCCACCTAAAAGCCAACTACACCCGAAGCCTTGAATCCATCCCCAAAACTCAACATCTATAAAAACCAGCATTGCCCCAATTCTCAAAAGACCACCAAAGAAAGAATTGAATCCTTCAAAACACTGGAAACCGAAGAACGAGATACAAGGAATATATAATTACGTAATAGCTTGAAGAATATTCATGCAAATATATTTCAGGTTTCAAATTTTTGATACGTTTTTTTGGAGAGAGTTGAATATCGTTACTAACCCATAACAGCATCCAACATCCACGAACCCAACGAAAACTAATCAAATACAACAATTGTACGAACAAAGTCCCAAGTAAGACCACCCATCACCCCATCACACCATCACAACCCCCTATTTCCTTATATGGACAACCTCGGACCCATGCTTTCCATCTCCCTGCGTCTCTACTCCTCTTGTACTATCATACCTGTACTATCATACCTCTCACTACATAATCTCCCAGCCCCTAACCCTTGATCCTACAAGATACAAGACTCAAAAACCCACCCCATCACCCCATCACTCCATCACTCCATCACCCCATCACTCCATCACTCCATCACTCCATCACTCCATCACTCCATCACTCCATCACTCCATCACTCCACCATTCCACAATTTCATACCCTCCAACAACCCACACTCATCTTCTATTATTCTCTTATCCTCCCCACTTCTTCACCTCACAATCCCCAACTTCCAAAATTCCTAAATCCTATGAACCCTTTGCTAATCAACCAGGAGACTTGCATTCATTACCATATCATATAATTCTTACATAAGGGATATAGAGAAGAGAAGAGAGATAAGAAAAGGTATAAACCCGAACTGGTCCTATAAAAACCATATAAAACGCCCAAAAAGAGTAATAACATCAAGAGACTCAAAGATTCAAAAATGAGAAACTTGGAATGGTTTACTTAGACAAAGATAGATAACTAAGCGAGCAAGGTAAAGAGTTAGAACAGTACTATATAATTCGAGTAAGAGAAGAGAAGGAGACAGAGGGAAAGTAAAGCGCAAAGTGAGCTCTTACCTACCTAGCACCGTTCATCCACAAAATCCAAAATAGCACTATCAACGAACAATTGAGGAAGTTTTTAATTCACAACATTCTACCAGGAACCAGGACCTACCTAATACAACAGAGGAATAACAGAATACCACCCTCTCCCCGCAAACCCCTTCTCCCTCTCAAACACCTCTTAAACCCCTCCTCATACCCCTCCTCATCCCATCAAAACACACTCACAACCTCACATGAACACCTATCCCCATCTCATCAACACACCTATCGTTTATAAAACCCTCATTACCCTCATTACCCTCATTACCCACACGCAGTCCACTTCACTCCTCCCTCCCCCTCCTTAGCTCTTTACTTCCAAAATAATTCACTTCTCTACCCCTCCCTCCCTTACACACCATTTCTTTCTTCACAATTCACTCCCCTTCATAATCCTATCCCCCATCCCCACAACCTACCTACCATCCTTACCTTTCCCCTCTCCCTCCCAACCAAAGAATCAACTCAACTCAAGTCAAGGTAGCCCGCCCAACTTGCTCACTCACCTCCCCGCCTCCCCATGACCACCCAATCCACCAAACATCCCATAACCCATATCCCACAACCTCAACCTTATAAAGAATGCAAAGAACCAAAAAAACAAAAATAAAAATAAATAGAAAATTACCAAAAACATGATATTAAACACACTAACTACCAACCAACCTCTAGTGAACTACCTACCTTGTACTCGATACGGTACTCGATTCTTCGGTAATTATCAACTTCGACTTGTCAACTCACACAATAACATCCAAACAATAATATCCATACAACACCCACCTTCCTTACTCCCCCTAACCCCTACCCCCTA